GCCTATAGTCCCAGCTGCTCAGGAAGCTGAGGGAGGAGGATTGCTTGAGCCCAGGAGTTTGAGGTTGCTGTGAGATATGACTCTATGGCACTATAGCCTGGGGAAACAGAGTGAGACTCTGTCTCGAAAAATAAAATAAAATAAAATAAATGGAAGTGGATCATCATAAAGGTCTTCATCTTCACATTGAGTGGGCTAAGGAGGAGGAAGAATTTGTCTTGCTATCTTAGGGGTGGCAGAGATAGAGGAAATGGAGGAGGTAGAAGGAGAGGCAAGTGAGGCAAGTGCACTCAGTGTAATTTGGAAGTAGTATAACTTCTTGTCTGACTTTTTCCTTTCTCTGAAAATGTTTCTATACAGTATTAATTAGTCTTCTACCATTTTCTTTAGTTTCAGTGGCCCTGTCATAGAAGGATCCAAGTTGTAAAAGAAGTCAAAGGCTGTCTTGAATAATCAGAACCCCAGATTACCAGATATTCTAACGTCAATTTGTTCTCTGGCGTTGCTTCTTCTATACCTTCTTCCTCATCGTCTGGCACTGATCCAGGAGCACTCATCTCCATCACGTAATTTTCTCTGTTAATTCCTCTGTGTGGTGTCTATTAGCTCTTGAATTTCTCCAAAACCCATATCTTAAAACTCTTCACCTTGCACTTTTTTTGCTGTGTCTACAATCTCTTTCATTATTTCCTTGACTGGCTCTTTTGTAAATCCTGTGAAATTATGCACAACATCTGGACACAGTTTTCTTCAGCAGGAAATTATTGTTTAGAGCTTGACAGCTTTCACGCCTTTTGAATAACAACAATGGCATCTTCAGTGGTATAATTCTTCCAGAATTTCATTTTAGAAAGACTTTTGGGGTTCTTATCTATAGCATTGAAAATTGGTATATAATGAGCCTTTAGGTCTTTATTACCACCTGATCTAGAGGCCTAATTAGAGGCATGTTTGAGAACAATGGTGTTGAACTCATGTGTTCTGGGTGGCCAGGGATAATTGTCTAATACCAGGAGAACACTAAAAGGCCATAACTTGGCTCGGTGCCTATAGCTCAACTGGCTAAGGCGCCAGCCACGTACACCTAAGGTGGCAGGTTCGAATCC